GTCCATGACTAGAGAGGCGAGAACACGAGTGACAATAGGACGGGTGGCACGGTAGTAGTCAGTGATAGGGGTAGACATGGAGGCTGTAAGAGACGACTCAGCAGGTGACGGGAGAACAGACTGAGGTGGAGAATGACGAAGACTCGAACAAAGCAAGACAGTGCGGAGGTCGTCAAAAGGAGACGAGGGACGTGCACGAGCGGGACAACGCACTGTCCAGTCATGCGGGACAACATGAGTAGAGACTGTGACTGAGGAGGAGAGAAGACAGCTACAGAAAAGTCCAGGGGGGGGAACGTAGGACCGTAAACTGGGGGAGACAGTGAGCGGTCTGGAGGAGAGGAAGGACGCGCCTGCTGCGACTGCTGCGGCTACTGCTGCTGATGCCGCTGCTGTTGCTGCTGCCGCTGCTGGCGCTGCTGCTGCTGCTGCTGCTGCTGCTGCTGCTGCTGCTGCTGCTGCTGCTGCTGCTGCTGCTGCTGCTGGTGCTACTGCTGGTGCCGCCGTCGCTGCTCCTGCTGCTGCTGCTGGGCCTGCTGCTGCAACTCCTGCCACTGCCGCTCCAGCCCCAGCCTCTCCTGCTCCAACCGCTCCTGCTTCTCGCGCTCCAGCTGACAAAGCCTCTGGAAACTCGTTGGGTAGCGGTGGAGAGGTGGGGTAGGCGCTACAGTAACAGTGCCTCCAGCTCCAGTCTCCTAAGAACTATCACCTCCAGCTCCAGCACCCCTAGAACTAATGTCCCCAGGACGAGCACCCCCAGAACTAGCACCGCCAGTGCCAGCACCTCCAATAAGAGTACCTCAAGAACGAGCACCTCCAGCGCCAGTAGCCTCAGCTCCAGCACCCTCAAAACTAGTACCTCCACCACCAACACCCTCAGCTCCACCACCCTCAGAACTAGCACCCCCAGCATTCGTGCCCCCAACACCAGCACCCCCGGAACCAGCACCTCCAGCGCCAGCACCTCCAGCTCCAGCACCCCCGGAGTCCACAGTAACATGTCGCGGAAGTGCCGAAGGCTGCTGAGGGGATTGTGAGGATGACTGCGGAGACGCTACCTGACGCGCAACCGAGGGTAGAGGGGTAGCGTGGGACACACCTGACAGGGCGGGACCAGGGGGGGGGCGGGGGTACCGGAGGAGCGAGAGCAGGAAGAGGAGAGGGGGCGAGAAAAAGGGGAGGGGGGGGGAACTGGGAGACCTTGACAGGGGTACCGGGTGTAGTAGGACACGGACTCGTTAAACCGGACGTCACGAGAGTCAAGGAACCGGTGGAGGGGCGGGTGGTAAAAGGTGTAGTCAGAGGAGTCCACCGGGAAACTAAGGAAGATACAAGGGATGGCACGAGTCGAGAGCTTGTCCGCAGAGATGTCGCGGACAAGCGCAAGGCAGCCCCAAACTCGAAAATCCGACGCGACACCAGGGGACCCGGTCCAAAGACTGGTCGGTGAAGCCCTTGGCCGAGAGACACGAGGCCAGAGATTCAGTTGGTGGGCGGCGTAGCGAACCGCGTAGGGCCAAAGAAAATGGGGCGCACGGGCATGGATCATGGAGGTACGGGCAATCACCATGACCAAGCCTATGCGGTGCTTAGCAACCCCATTCTGCTGTGGGGACTCTGGAAGCGTCCAAGACTGGGTGATGCCCTGCTCGCTACAGAATCCGCGAAGAATGCCAGAGCGAAACTCGCCCCCACGGTCGGAGTGAAGACAACTAGCACGATGGCCACGTGTGGTCTCGGTGGCCAGCAACCACCAGATCAGCGTAGAAGTTACGTCGGACTTCTTCACTTGAGGGAACATGGTGGTGTAGTGGGAGTAGTCGTCAACGACCACTAGAAAAAAGCTCTCCCTCTCGGGCCCAGGGCGAGGGGCGGGGCCCCAGACGTCCAAGTGGAGAGTCTAGAAAGGTGCAGTGGCCGGACGAAGGGAGGAGGAGTGAGGAGTTGCGCGCAGCCGACCCTCGACGCAAGGAGTGCACAACGGCGTAGGCGAAGGAGGGAGCGACGCAGAGACGCGCGGGAGACCTGAGACAAGACGCTGGCTAGCCATGCTGCGGAGGCGTGGGAGAGACGGGTGACCAAGACGGTGGTGCCACAAGACTGTCGGGTGAGAGAATGACCGACAAGAGTAAGACGCAGCAACCAGACCGGACATAGCCACCTGGCCAGACACCGCAACCTGAGGGGACACAACAACCTGAGGGGACGCAGCTACCTAGAAGCGCTCAGTGTGCAGAATGTAGAGACCGGAGCAAGACTCTCTGGTAAACGTGGCAAGAACGACACCGGTGGCAGCGTCCGTGCGGACTGCAGTCCTCCCGCCTCCCAGAAAGGTAACTGTGATCCCCCTATCCTAGAGGTATCCAACACCCACCAAGTTCCGAGTGAACGAGGGGATATGGAGACCTCTAAGGAAACCAGAGGGGACAACCGGGCATGGGAGGGTGGTAGAGCTGCATGCAACCGCTGGTCCTGAAGTAGGATCAGCTAGTGCAACCGGAACCGGAGCAAGAAGCGGTGTGAGAGTCGTGTGGCCACGGAAGAAGCACTGCGATGCGCCAGAGTCCAGCGTGAAGGACAGCGACGCCTCAGCCGTAGGTGCACCTGGGCTGGTAGCTACACAAGCACCTAGTGCGGAAACACAAGCACCTAGACTAGAGAGACAAAGATCTACACTAGCAACATGTAAAGAACCTAAACTACGAACACGCGAGCAAATAGATCCAGCAACACTATAATCAACATCAGCATACATCACAGAAACAGAGTCTAAAGCATCAACTAACTCTGCCGCAGAAAAGTCCCACAAAGCAAGTCCACAAGAGCGAGCAAGCGGGGACCAGTCAGGAGCAAGGCCAAGGCCGAACTGTGCGCGGACGCGGTCAGTAAGCTGCGCAAAGCACTGACCCGAAGCGTGGAAACGGCCATAGCGAGAACCCGCACGACCGCCTGACTGAACCACGTACGGGCAGGGAGGCGGAGTTACACCACGCAACGCCGAGCTGGGCGGACCACCGCCACGACCAGCGCTCCCTAGTCCACCGGGTCCCCACTGCTGAGGCTCCTGCTGCACCTGCCGCTGAACCTGCTGCTGCGGCTGTCCCTGCTGCTACGGCTGTCCTGACTGTGGCTGCTGCTGCTGGGACTGCTGCCGCCGCTGTGCCGTGTACCACGTAACCGCACCAGCACCCCCTCCCGTCAGGCCGGCAGGCGCAGGGCCGCTCCCAGTGTTGCCTCCACCAGACGCACTAGTGTCACCAGAGCCTCCGGCACCTCCGCCACCACCACCACCACCACCACCCTTCCCCTCTCTCTTACCTCCCTTACCCCTGGACCGTCCACCCGCGGTGGACACGGCCGCAGTCTCCAAAAGAGAAGGAGACGCAGTAGAGGCAAGAGAAGCAGTGAAGGTGGAAAGCTGTGGGACAGTGCACCCCTGAAAGAGCGGGGGAACTACAGCGCCAGATGCGGAGGCAACGGAGCGGATATTGCTCTCGATGTCCTTGAGAGCGGTCTCAAGGACATCGATGGAGAGCTCACTACAGTGCTTCCGAAGAAGCTCGTCACGAACAGGTGCAAGGCGGTCAGGGAGGCTAGTGGCGATAAAGTGAATAGTGATCGCCATGGGCGGGGGGAGCAGTGCAAGCTGAGCCTCGGTACAAGCAGCACGCTAGCTCACGTCTAGCGAGCTCAGGTGGGTGATAAGATCAGCAGCGCGGTCAAACGAGCATAAGTCAGGAAAGAGAAACGGCAGAAACAGGCGACCAAGAGAGGCGGAGGTGGGAGTGGAGTAACGTGTCTTAATGGCAGTGAGCAGGTCCTTGGCAAATCGAACCTGAGAGAAGTGAGCCTCCTCAGTCTCAGGGAGAAGGCTGGAGAGGGCAATGCATGCCGCAGCGTCATGCGACTGCCACACTGAACGAGCGGTACGAGCTTTATCAGGCGCGCCTGGGCCGCCTCGTCAGGCTCAGCACCAAGGTCAAGAGGGGACGGAGGCTCAGGCAGGTCACCGGAAGCGTGCGCCCAGAGCGTATCATTGTCCTGGCGCTGGCTCTTGAGAAACCGCTCGGCACGGATGAGCCAGGAGGGGAACTCTAGGGCTCTACCCTCAGCATCAAAGCGCAGTACACCAGGGGCCGCCATAACGACGGAACTACCGGCCTAGAAGCACAGGGCTAGAAGGGGCCGGAGCTAGAAACAAGTGAGGCGTACGGTGCCCGAAGAGACAAAGCGAGGAACAGCCTGAGCTAGGAGCGACCTAAGCCAGAGTGGCGAGGCTAGGACGAGCCGAAACGAGTAACGAGCGAGGCCTAAGTGCTAATTGAGATTCGAGCGAGGCGAGGGACAAATGAAGTCAGAGGGTCGAGCCTAGGTCACGCTAGTAGAGGGTACTGCGGCCGCCAGCCGCTGTGAGTGGAAAGCCAGTGGCAGTAGGCGGTAGGAAGGTGCTGCACGTGCAGAAAGGTGTGGGTGGGTGCGTTTGAGTGCGGTGGGGAGCGGTCATGTACGCTTCAAAGCGGTGGAGTGCGGTCGAGAGCGGTTAGGAGCGGTGATGAGCGGTTAGAGGCGGGTATGAGCGGTTAGGAGCGGTGAGGAGCGGTGAGGAGCGGGTAGAGGCGGATAGGAGTGGTGAGGAGCTGGTAGGGGCGGATAGTAGTGGTTAGAAACGGATTCTGGAGCACGGGCTGCAGCTGCTGCGCTCGCTGTAGATGCGGAGGCAGGTGCTGCGCTTGCTGGCGCTGCACGCGCGTGGCTGCGGCTGCTGCAGGGCGTGCGTGCGAGTGGCCGCAGAGGAGAGTGCAGCTGCTGCTGAAGCCGTGCGTGCAATGGCTGTTCCGTGCGCGGGAGGCTGCTGCTCGCACGCGTGCAGTGACGTGCGTGCTCGCGGCTGCTGCAGCGCGTGCGGCTGCTACAACGCGTGCGGCTGCTGTTGCGCGTGTTGACGCTGCTGTGCGCGGGTGGCGAGCGTGCGTGCGGACGGCAGCTGCAGTGCGTGGCTGCTATTCGTACTGCTGGCGCACGTGCACCCGCGTGCGCGTGCGCTGCTGCGTATGGGTGGCTGCGCGCGCGTCCGACTGTGCGAGCTAGTGGGGGAGCGCGGGTTGCGCGCGAGGGTAAGGGGCAGGGTGGGGCGTGGGCGGGTAAGGAGCGTGACGACGGGGCAGGCTATGTGCGGGGCCTGCGAACGGACAGGGCGCGGCATGCTAAGGGGACGCGGCACGACGTGCTAAGGGGCGGGGCGATTCGGGGCTAGGCTAGGAACTGACCTACGTACTAGTGATACCATCTTAAGAACCTACTTGCTTGAGCAACGAGAGAATGGTGATTCTAGGTCAAAGGGAGGGATACAACGAAGTGTCGAGAAAGTTTTGTACCCCCTAACATCCAACTCACTATAGCATATCTAAATGTACAAACATAGTTTGACAAAAAACCTGATAGCAAAGTCATGCAAATTCAGTCAAGCAAGCAGTGGTATTGCATGGGGCAAATGGAAATGTGTTTGGTGCTATCATGGATTCAGTGGTGAGAACAAAGGGCTTATGGTAGGGCCCGTGCTCGAAATCAACTTCAATAAACAGTGCTCGATACCCCACCTGTGCACAAGAGTACAATGGAGAGAACAGAGTAAATGTGGGAAACTTGCATTTAGGTGAAACAAGGCTATGACTATGGTAAAAGTTTGCTCAAGGCATATAAGGGACATTCGATTAAACAAGCAGAGGAAGTGGGCGCTGGACTGTGAAGGCATATATGATGCTAAAGGGCAGGATATAGCATCATCTGGTGGGAATTTAGAAGAACCAGGTTGTTTGAAATTACATCACAGCTATAATAGCCACCGAAAGTATGATCATGTAGCTGAAGCAGAGCATCACTTGCTTCCTTGCCATGTCACGCCTTACTTGGAAGCGATTCCCCATAAGGGCGTATTACATTTTCTTTGTTAGGCAATTGTCCAGACGATGGTCCCTGTATGGTACTAATAGCGCATACGGACGGAGCGGGGCATATGTCCGGACCGTGCCTTGTCCAGACGGTGATTGTGGAACGTTCTGTATCTAAATAATGTACACTTGTAACATGATCAACATGACTTCGCAACTTTCGTGAGGCCCACAACGCATCTCGAAAGTGAAATTGCAGGTACAGCGAGGTTTGGTGGTGGGGGGTTGTCAGGGGCTTCGATGGGTTCCTAGTTCAAAACGAGAAGTAGAGTCCACCCTGTGCTAGTACAATCTTCCATTCGTTTCGTTTGAGCATTTCTAGTGCTCTTTCGTCGTTCGTTCGATGTATTCGAGTCGTGCAACTCTGCCCAATGTTATCAACTTGTGCAATTGGCTATGCTCAATGGATTTCCGAGCCGCTGTTATTGTAACTGGGTAAATCGGTTTAGTACCTGTTTTTCGCCCGTCAATTATATCACTGCTCGTTATTGAGCGCAAAAAAAATGGACAGTCCAGCAAACGAACGGACACTGTCCGTGCGTTATTGAGTGCAAAAAAAAATGAAAATGATTCATCAACGGTACGGACGTGTGCGACATTGCATGCTCACTGACGAACAGATTGCCATACCTATATGGTGTACGGAACATCTTTACGAGTTTGAGCGACAAGATTAACCAGCCGTTCGTCCGGATGGCGGACAGTACGGACCATGGAAAATGAAAAATGTAACATGCCCTGAAAAATGTAACTACCACATCTCCACACTTCATTGAACTTTTAGCACTCCGTAAAAAGAAAATACACTTCATAACACTTATTCCTTTCACCACACGCAATCACACTTCATCACACTCACCTTGGGAATGTCTCTGATGGAGGAATTGAAGTACCAGAGCTTATCGGGTTGCAGCGCGGGCGGCGAGACAGTGTGCAGGAGGAACGGGATGGGCTGCACACAGAGCGTGCCGAACTTGGCAGTGTAGCTGCCCGGCGCACTCTTGAATGGCACCGTGCTGGCGAGGAGCAGGGCAGGAGGGGTGGAGATGAATGGAGAGGTAAGGGTAGAGGAGAGGAAAGAACAATTTGCTCACTCACGTGGCAATGAACACACACGAGCAGATTTGTTACCAGGTGCAACACCCCATGCGCATGGACCCACCTGCCGGAATAACGCCACAGGAGTCTAGAAAAGGCATGAATAACAAACGGGAGTCATCTTCCTTGCACTCACCACCTTCCTTGCACTCACCACCTGGTGAGCCCCTGCTTGACCATGAATACGAAACAGAAGATTTGAAGGCCTAATGAACCTCATCCAACATTCTCACACATCCATCCACCGTTCATCTGAGCCTCGGAACCCATTTCTTCCCCTGCATCGCAGTCACCACCCTTCCACCTTTCCCTCCCCTGCACTCACCACCCTACCACCTTTCCCTCCCCTGCACTCACCACCCTACCACCTTTCCCTCCCCTGCACTCACCACCCTACCACCTTCCCCTCCCCTGCACTCATCAATCCCACCTTCCCCTTCCGTGGACTCACAACCCTGTAAGCCCCTGCTTGACAATGAACCTGAAGAGGATGTTCCAAGGGACGAGGTGAGAGCAGAACAGGCACCACCCTACCACCTCCCCTGCACCGCACTCAACCACCCCACCACCTCCCCTGCACCGCACTCAACCACCCCACCACCTCCCCTGCACCGCACTCATCACTGCACCACCTCCCCTGCACCGCACTCACCACCCCACCACCTCCCCTGCACTGCGCCGCACTCACCACCCAGTGAGCCCTTGCTTGACAATGAACCGGAAGTCCCGCCGCTTGCTGCCCGGCCTCGTGCGCCCAGTCCTGCATCCGGGGAGAGGGGGGCATGGAACTGATGTGACTTACAGCAATGCGGCTCAAATTTTAGTAATATTTGGGGTCCTATATATAACAATTAACTCTTTAGTCGAAAAGATAGTAAATTCCATAACAACCTCTTTAAATATATGTAATTTTTAAGGTAATAAGCTCTACGAGCGTCAATACCTCCATTCCTTCCTACTAGCACTCCCCTCCACGTATCCACTCCTCCCTTATCACCCTCTCCAACCCCATCCGCCATCACCCTACCCATTACCCTCCCCATCTCTCACAACGCTCTATCTGCCGATGCCTTCCCCTCCCCCTTCTCCGTCTTCCACTTCCGCGCCCCTCCCCCCTCCCCCCGCTTCCTTCTCACCATGCCCTGACTGCCAATGGTTTCCTGTCTGACGTGGCATGGATCGTGAACGTGGGCCAATCAAACTGCCACCTCAACTGCGGCCAATCAACAGCTGGCAGGTCAGGAACGCACTTCCAGGGGGGATTTTGTGCCTCTGCCACTGCTGCCCCCACTGCCGCCCCCACTGCTGCTGCCTCTGCGTCTGTGAGACTGGACGGCTGAGAGCTGTGAGGGGTGTGAGAGGGAGTTGGGTCTGGAGAGGAGGAGGTGGTGTGGGGGATGAGGGCGGCGGGGGTGGGGGTGGTGGGGCGAGTCCAGGTGAGGGAGGGACGGGAGGAGGCGGGGAGAGAGGCGCAGGAGGAGTTGACGTGCAGGAGAGAGGAGAGGAAGGAGATGGCAGCATCATAAGCCTGAAAGATTCGGTGGAAGACAACAAGAGAACCAGGGAGGGGGAGGGGTGACAACGAAATAAAGGTGAGAGGAAATAGGCGTGAGAAGCGGAGGGAGATGTCGGCAGTGTGGGGGGGGGGGGGGGGAGGGGGGAAGAGGGGTTGGGGGGGGGTGGGGGAGAGGGAGGGGATAAAAGAAGGGGGGTGGCCACAGAGGAAGCAGAAACAGAGACGGGTGAAGGTGAGAGGAAGAAGCGAGAGTCAAGATGGCACGAGGGTGAGGTGGAAGAGGTTGGCATAAGGGGAAAAGGGTTGGCGAGCCAGGTTGCGAAGGAAGGGCGGTGAGGGTGAGAAGGAGTTTGCGTTGTTGATGGGAAGGTGGAGAGAAGCGTGAAGGCGAGAAGAGTGAAGGCGAGAAGGGGCATGGGAGTGCATGGGAGGGGAGAGAAGAGCGGAAGACCTTACCCACTGTGACATCTGAATGAGTGCTCCTAGAAGCCTCAAAACTAGAGTAGCAGGAGAGAAGAGGATTGGAGGGTAAGGGCGTACCCACTGAGGCAGAAGTGTTAGTGTTAGCCCTCAATCGCAACATCATGTATTTCCACTTTTACATCCTAGCATAATGTAGTTTGCACTTGGTGCTTGGTTGCATGTACACCCACATCCCAACCAGACCCAAATTTGATCACCAAGCCATCTCCAACCTACCAATTGGAGATTGCTATGGGATGGCACCCAACTTAGTTGCGAAAGACGCGTCCTGCGTCTTAGACGGGTGCGTCCAAACGCAGCGTCTTGGACGCAGGACGCTTCATGTGGGCCTGGGAGACGCTACAAAAGACGCATGCCTGGACAGGGCAAAAAAATCCCCCGGGCAGCCAAAAAAACACGTTGTAGGGCATGGGAAGGGGGGGGGGGGGGGGGGGGGGGGGACGACGTATCACACACGTGAGGCAAAAAGGTAGCTATGGAGCGAAAGGTAGCACTGAGGAGAAAAAGGTAGCTAAACCCTCTAGGGTTCACGAAGGAGAATAATGTTCATATAAAGAGATGGAGCACAGATGAAGAGTTTGAGCTCCTAAATGGGCTTGGTGGTGGTCCACCATGGTTTGGTTTTCTAGACGTAGTTGGGTTGTGAGGGGTTGGGTTTACAATTTTGGTGATGGGCTGTTTTTGATGGTCGAAATGGGTTAGGGGGGGTCGAAATGTCGCGAATTTGACAGTCGCGTCGAAATCGCGAATGTCAACTTCGCACTGGCAAAAAAAAAAAATCCGGTCAGCCCGAAAAAAAACCGCCGTGCGTCCTGCGTCCCTGCGTCCGGACGCTGCGTCCAGACGCAGGACGCATGACGCGCCCTGCGTCTTTCGCAACTAAGGCACCCAATCCTCTAGAGACTGTCCCTGATTCCCTTACCATCCATACCGTGCCCATTTCTGATGTACTTAAAAAGCCTTGAGCTCATTATTAGTCAATCATTTTAAGCTGAAGTTCTCACATGGTATCAGAGCTGCGTAATCGCACACGCGGATCGTGATCCTCTTACCTTTGCGGATTCTCATCCCGCATTCTTCGGCAAAGCCGCCGTCAATCTCGTTGCCGTTGATTTGCGACATCTCTAACTGGAAATTTTCCCGCGCCAATCTTCCTACTGTCACCACGAATTCCGCGTTTTTTGCAAAGCGAATCGTCTGCGTATCGCTAATAGCGTTTTTTCTGTTGAACGAGTATGCGGCACTTCTCCTACTCGTCGAGCTGACGCCTGTCGCCCTGCAGCTTCTCGTCGGGCTGACGCCCATCGCCCTGCAGCGTCATCTTCGGGCTGCCGCTTATCGCCCCGCAACTTCTCGTCGGGCTGCCGCCTGTCGCCCGGCATCGTCACCTTCGGGTTGCCGCCTGTCGCCCTGGAGCGGCTTTATCTAAACCCTACCTTAAAATTCTTCTTCGTAAACCCCACCTTACAATTCTCCTTCGTAAACCCTACCTTAGAATTCTCCTTCGTAAACCTTACAATTCTCCTTCGGAAACCCCACCTTACAATTCTACCTACGACGACTTAAGAGCTGCGCTTCGTGCGGAAAGGAAAAATATTGTCAACATGGCATTCGCATCCTTCACTATTGCCAACCTCATCGTCAAGGTTCATACTATTCATGGCGAGCTCAAGGAACTCGGCATAGTCTTCTCTGAGCAAGCTCTAGCATCCGCTTCTCTTGTCGGCCTCACTTTGGCATACGAAGTCTCGAGGAAGATGCTCCTCACACTCTCGACGAAAGACCTCACCTTCATAAGGTCTCTCCACCGAGAAAGACACCACGGCTCAAGTCTATGCCCTCCGTGCTCCCGTGCCTCAAGCAAGTGTTACCTTGGCACTTTTCCAGCGCAATCGCTTCCCTCCATGTATGGCAACTGCAAGGGACAAGTGTGTGGTGGCACTAACTGCCTCATTGCTACGTGCTTCAAGAAGAAGGACGACGAATGGTATGCCATCCATGGAGTCGACAAGAAGCTGCCGAACTGAATGCGCACTCGTAAGGTCAACCTAGTCGAGACACAGGAACCCGCTCAGGCTAGTGCTAGTTATAGTGCTCGTGCTGATGTGCGTATCAACATGTTCTTCCATGGCACTGCCATGATTAATGAAACGACCTCGCAGTACATCAGCTCACCACAGACACCACACTACATAGAATTCACACTCGACAGTGGGGCCATGCAAACAGCACCCAAAGAGAAACACTCCTTCCAACCCTACTCAGTACCCATTCCTCTCTTGGGAGCGGACTCGAGCTTCACCACTCATGCTAACGGGCCGTCCATAGTCATTTGCTCCGCCTTCCCATCCGACACTGTCACTGGCATGTACGTGCTTTAACTACGCCGCAATCTAGTGGCCCAAATTGAAATTCAGAAGGCTGACGCTGTCTATTGTGACATCATCGACCCACTCACAAACAAGATCTTAGCTCGCTTCACCCTCAACAGCAGCGGCCTCTACACGATGTGTTTACCGGCCCCACAGGTGTCAACCACCCAAGCACAGGCTGCTATCACACCATGCTCATGACGTAGTCTCGCCAACCCGGCCATCCTCTACCGCCATCGGCTCAGGCACCCAAATATGCGCACGCTTGCAGACATAGCCTCAAAGAAGCTTCTTCTTCTTCTCGGCCTACCAGCCTCGCTTCCTCCACCACCTGACTTTCCCGCTCCCACGTGCCTGACTACACCAAGAGTAAGTTGTGCTAACAACTTCACCCCGCCTCACCCTCGGTCGCAGCAGCCCCATTGGACCTAATGCACATGGACGCCTGAGGCCGTGCGCCGGTTACCACATGGGGTGGTCATCGCTATTTCCTTGCAATAGTTGACGACCACTCTCGTTACGACTCTGTGCACCTATTTCACACTAAGGCTGAGGCTCCAAAGGCCATCATGGTGTGGGTCAAACAGGCGCAGGTCACCTTTGGCACCAAGGTCAAGCGCCTCCATTCGGATGGTAGTGGTGAATTCTGCAAACGCCAAGCTTGAAGCCTTTAACTCCTCTCTTAGCATTCAGCAAAACTTCACCCTCCCCGACAACCTGCAGCAGTACGGCATAGCAAAGAGCCGTAATCGCACTTTGGTGTTGATCGCTCCCACTAGATATGAGCACGAACCGAACTCAAACATGTTTGCTCAAACTTTTTCGAACCTTGCATGGGGGTCGAACCAAACCGAACTTGTTTGTTCGAACTTATGTTGAGATTTGAGGTTTGTATATGTAACAGCGAACCTTAAAGGTTTGTGCGAACTCGAACCTAGTTAGGTTTGGGGGTAAAGATGATGCACAAGGAAATGTAAAAGGCATGCGTGTCAGACGGTTCAGCGAGAGTATCAAGTACAAAACAGAACAGCAAATGAGAGGGTAAAAAGAAATCCAGGGTTTAGCTAAAAAAAATCGGAATGCTCCCCTTCAGCTAAAAAATATAGTTATGCGCAGTGTACTATCTAACCTAACACCTAAACGTATGACGCATCTTAAGAGGGAGTTGTAGTGAATGAATAGTAGTGGGAGCTTGGGTGTGGTACTTAGGAGCAAATCTAGATCTGCTCTACCTAACTTACGACCTTAGGGTTGGCTGCCGTGAAATGGCAGCCACCTCGACGACTTTCCCGATTTTGACGGGAAAGTCGAGTGGGTTCTGGCGGGGTCTAATTTGAACCCTGCGAAGTTTGAAAATTGTTGTTTCGAACTTCGAACCGGACCGGTTCGAAGTTCGAAACTTGAACCATAAAAGTTTGCTCTAACGGTTCGCGCAAACTTTTTCAAGGTTTGCGCAAACATTTTCCAAGAGAAAAGTTCGGTTCGTTTTAATTTGAACCGGTTCGAGCGAACCGAACCTAGGTTCGGTTCTTTGCTCATGTCTAGCTCCCACGCACCACTCTCATTCTAGGGGTATGCCCTTTACCATGCTGCCCTCCTCTACAATCTTTACCCCCACCCCATCCGCATCTTCCCGACACCACTCCCACCACCCTCTCGCTCGGGAAAGCACCCACAGCTCGCCCTCTTCGTGTCTGGGGGTGCGCCGCCTATGTCCTCCTCAACCCTTAGGCTCGGCGGCAGCAAGACGGCAAGCTCGGCCCCAAGACTCGAACGTGCATATATCTTGGGCATAATGCCGACTCCCCTGACTAGCTCTTCCTCAACCCCACTACTCACCAACTGGTCCGCAACCGAGACGTTGTCTTTGAAGAGACTTGCCCTTTCTACTCTACGTTAGGGGGGGATTCTCCCACCGGACCACCTCCCTTGCGTGGGCTGACTTTGATGTGCCTCCTGGACTTCCGCCTGCACCGGCTCCCTCACCTCCTACTACTCCTGCCATGGCACCAACCCTCTCCGAGGTCTCTACCTCGCCCTCACCAGTGTCCTCGGTAGTTGCTCCTCCATCCCTCCCCTCTCCCACTCAGCCACCCGCACTTCCACCACCGAGCGAACCTATCACATACCAGCGGCGGTCGACCCATCCGACCCCGCGTCCTCCCTCCATTCCCTCTTCCACTCTGCCACCCGCTCTCCCACCATCGAGTGCACCGATCACGTACCAGCGGCGGCCGATTCCTCCGGCCCCGCCTCCTTTACCGACCCCTCCGGCCCCGCCCGCTACACCCTCATCTCCGCAGTCTCGCAAGCCTGCACTTCCACTCGCACTCGTCATTCGGTGCTCTAGCACATCTTTCCTGATATCACTGACTCACCCTCACTCAACTTCTCAGAGAACCCGACATCCTCATCCCTCTCACTATCCAAGAGGCTCTTTCGGGTCCCTATGCTGCTGAGTGGCGCAATGACATGAGAGATGAATGCGAAGCCTTCACTCGCAACCACTTCTTCGACGACGAAACTTCACCTCTAGGAGTCAACATCTTTGAAGGCACGTGGCTGTTTCAAGTGAAAAGGCTTTTGGATGAGGCTCAATGTTCAAAGCGTGCTGTGTGGCCAAGAATTCACTCAGCAGCAGCACTTTTGACTTTTTTCAGGACCTTCTCTCCCATGGCCTAATCACCCACCGTTCGCACGCTCTTGGATACGGCCGCACGAGAAAACATGGAAATCAAATCCATGGGCGCCTCTTCGGCAATTCTGCAAGAACACCTTAAAGGGACTGTGCTCGTGGATCGACCTGAAGGCTTTCCGGGAGAATTTCCTCCCAACACTGTCTGGAAGCTCCTCATGAGTGGCGCAACAAGGTGAAGAAGGTCCTCCTCTCATCGGACTTTCACCCATCATCTCCTGACCCGAAATTTTTCATTTGCAATCACTATGAGCCATTCTACATCCTTGTCTACATCGATGACTTCATCCTCGTCTCCAAAGACTCGGCCCAGATGACCTCTATCCAGACTACCCTGAGCAAGGCCCTCTTGATGAAGGACATTGGTGACCTCAAGCACTACTTGGGGACGGGGATCATTCGTGATCGTCAGGCTCGCACCGTCTCGTTCTCCCAAGAGTTCTACATAAACAATGTTCTCAAGCACCTTGAGATGGAATCCTGCACACCCATGGCCACCCCGCTGCCGCTACAACACCTCCTCACAGCTCCAGCTATACCCACACCAGAGGCCTGCTACGAGCCATACCCTGACCTTGTTAGGTCCCTCAGGTACGCCATGATGTGCACCCGGCCTGATGTGGCATATCCTATCAGTGTCCTCTCTCGCTATGTGGCTCCTGGATGTTTCATCGATCTCCACTGGAAGGCGGCGAAGTGGGTGCTGCGCCATCTGCAAGGCACCAAGTCTCATGTCTTCACATTTGGTGGTCTTTCTCCTACTCTGGAGGGCTATTGTGACTTCTCTCGGGCTGATGACCAGACCGACCGACACTCCTCTTAGGGCTACTTCTTCACCCTTGGAAGTGGAGTTGTTAGCTGACACTCTACCAGGTCGTACCCACTGAGACAAAAGGGGGGTTGGAGCGTAAGAGCGTACCCACTGAGACAAAAGAGGGTTGGAGGGTAAGGGCATACCCACTGAGACAGAAGAGGGTTGGAGGGTAACAGCGTACCTTGAGACAAAAGAGGGTTGAAGGTTAAGGGCGTGCGTACCCACTGAGACAGATGAGGGTTGGAGGGTAAGGGCGTACCCAATAGGACTTCTGAATGACCATGTGGTCCACGTTGGCCACGAACTTAAGTAGCGTGGGGGGTGGCAGGCCGTTGTAATAGAAGTACCTGCCAGGCGCATCCACAGGGGGAGAGTGAGTGTGAGGAATGGACGCGTGCACATGGAGCCAACAAGGGTGACAAAAGGGGTTGTGTGCGAAGAGAAATAAAGGGTGTGTGGCATTCTGAGGTGCCCCAAACCATTATCTGACAGTACTCGTATTGGCGAGAGGAAGTTGAGAAGGCAGAAACACACATGTCTTGGCACGTGCGCAAGTGCTGTGACATGGGATCCGCACTCAAGGGAAAACAAATCAACATGCATTTTTTTCCACGTATACACAATTTTCCCTGCAAATGAATGAGGACGTGCGCAAAAATAGAACAAAAAGGCACTTAAGAGGACGGGACGTGCACTACACGGACAGCCAGCAAAAAGGACGTGCGTACGAGTCATCCATGCGACACTAACGAGTCGTCTATTCAGCACTGTTGTGCAGCATGTCCCAGTGGACGGTTTCTCACCTTTAGTCTTAGAGATCACAAGTTAAACTCTCAGCAGCTGCACTTTCCCTTTTCGTTATGCTCACCATCACAAGTCCACTCAACCACACTCACTTACATTGAAGTGCGGTCGCTGTTGGCATTGCCACATGTCCACTCATCCCATGCTCACCTTGCTGGCCCCTATGGTGTGCCATATGCTGCCTTGTCAGCTGTTGTTCCAGCCTAGCCCACATGTGCAACATGAGGCCTCACTTGCTAGCTTGACAAGGTTGGCTAGCCTTGCACTCAGCTTGGAGGAGCTGCAGCTAGCCTCAAGAGTTCAGCCATGTATATGTGGTTTTTTACTTCACTAAATCTCATCCTTTGACTAGGACATTGCTCTAGCCTCTCAGGCTTGTACCATCTTCCTACTAAGGATATATTTTCTTTTCACATTGTGCCCTCAAGTTCACCGATCCATTTTCTACAAGCAGCCATTAAGGGGGCTTAGCGGGGCATGGGGCACTCACAAGTCATCCTTCAAGGCTATGCAGACAGGCATCAGGAGACGTGCACTCACGAGTCGTCCATCAATGAGTCATCCATGCGACACTCCCGAGTCATCCATGCGACACTCCCGAGTCATCCATGCGACAGTCACGGCTCATCTATTCAGCAGCAATGAAGGGGGCTGGGGCACTCACGAGTCTTCCTTCAAAAGGTGGAGTGCACTCACGAGTCGTCCATCAAGAAGAACTCGTCGTTGGAGGCGGCGATGAGCAGCTTGGGCATGGTGAGGCGCTTCCGAAAGAAGTAGGGGTCCGTGTAGCTCTATGGGGGTGGGGGGAAAGGGGTGGGGGAAGGGAGAAGGGGGGGTGGTGGTAGGAGGGTTTGGGGCGGGAGTGGGAGGGAAACAGGGAAGGGAGGGGGGGAAGGAGGGGGGCTTGTGAGTCAGTGGCATTTGTTGTCTGTCAAGCGTGGAGTGAAAGAAAAGGGTTTTGAGTTTTTAAGCATTCCCAAATGCATGGTTGGAGAGCTTTCGGGCTGGGCTGTTGACTAGAACTCTGCGAGACCACCCCCCCTCCCACTCCGCCCCTGCCTACCTCCCTCCCTAAGCCCTACACGTTTTTCCATTAACCTGAACCCCAAACCTCGACCTCGTTCCTTCCCTCTGCCCTCTGCCCTCGGGCCTACTTAATGGCTGCTGTTGGCTCCTTGTTCCTCATTATTTCGTGTGGGTTCCAAATTTTCAACCCACCTGCCTCTCTCCCTCTCTATCCCTCTCCATCCCTCTCTAACCCTCTCTAACCCTCTCTGTCTCTCAATTCCTTCCTTCTCACCAGGATGTGACGCAGCTGTGGGGTGTGCAGAAAGCGAGTGAGGTTGTAATCCACGTAGAACCTTCCCAGAATGGGAACAGCACCCAGGGAGTCGAGCAGGTGCTGCATGTTGGGCTGAAAGTTGATGAGATCATAGCCGTACGATATGAACGCCACCACTCGCTGTGGGGAGAGAAGAGAGAGAGGGGCAGAGTGGGTGGCGGGAGGTAAGGATTACGGACTGGGTGGTTGAGGCCAGCTGGGTCTGAATTGAAGAGGGAGAGAGGGACAGAGTGGGGGCGTGCTGATTGCAGATGAAATGACGATGTGGAAAGAAAGGAGGAAATGCAATGTGCAAGCCATTATGTAAAGGCACGTTCAGTTTCAGATGAATTACAACCCAAATATTTTTTACATATATATTTAAAAAAAAAAAAAAAAAAAAAAAAAAAAAAAAAAAAAAAAAACGAGCAAATGCACAAACAGATAACAAGCTGCTTCATAAAAGAAAGAAGGGGCACGTGCCTTATCGAGCGCGGCAGAGAGCCAAGCCATGCATGCTCGCTTGCTCACTCCGACACTCACAAAGCCCTCCACCTGGCGGGGGAAGGGAGAATGAGGAATGGGGCACACACGACACACGCGATCAGGGAGGAGCGAGAATGGCATCGGATGGGCTGGAGGAGAGAGAGTGGCATGGGATGGGCTGGAGGAGAGAAATGGCGGTAGTGAGGCTGAAATGCGCGATGTGGCATCCATCCATCACACATCCCATCCATCTCCCATCCCATCCATCACCCATTTATCACTCTCATAAATTTATGCATGCATCCATCAACCATTCATCACTCTCATACATTCATACATGCATGCATCCATCACCCATATTTCACCACCCATCATCCATCGCCTTGGAGCGACTATGGCGGGCAGGCGGGCCGTGGACCAGGCATCATTGCTAACTGGCCAGCCCCGGGCGGGCCCGTTATGACTGGGATGGGGTGGGGGGGGCATGGGTCGGCCCGGACTTGGCAATTTCAGGTAATTGCTCATAACAAGTGCAGTCCTTCCTTACCCCCACTCATCTGTACCCCCACTCATCTGTACCCCCACTCATCTGTACCCCCACTCATCTGTACCCCCACTCATCTGTACCCCCACTCATCTGTACCCCCACTCATCTGTACCCCCACTCATCTGTACCCCCACTCATCTGTACCCCCACTCATCTGTACCCCCACTCATCTGTACCCCCACTCATCTGTACCCCCACTCATCTGTACCCCCACTCATCTGTACCCCCACTCATCTGTACCCCCACTCATCTGTACCCCCACTCATCTGTACCCCCACTCATCTGTACCCCCACTCATCTGTACCCCCACTCATCTGTACCCCCACTCATCTGTACCCCCACTCATCTGTACCCCTGTGCATCCCTACCCCCATGCGTGCATGCATCCCTTCAACTGATGCAAGGAAGAACCGGTCCTTGGAAGCAAGCAAGCAAGCAACAACACGGAGGCAGCAGCAGCAGCACAGCACTCACTGGCACGTGCGGCAGCAGCTCCCTGGCAGCGAGCTGGGTGGCATCGAGGGCGCGGACGAGGGACTTGGCCATGGGCATGTAGATGGACCACTCGGGGGTGCTGGGGTCGTGCAGTGCCATGCCCAGTGTGACTGGCGGACGAGGTGCGTAAAGGGGGCAGGTGAGGCGGACGAGGTGCGTAAAGGGGGCAGGTGAGGCGGACGAGGCGGGTGAGGCAGGTGAGGGGAGGGGAGAGGAGGAGGTATGGGCGAGGGAAGGAAAGTTAAGTTCTGCACTCATATCCTCACATGCACTCATATCCTCACATGCACTCATTTCCTCACATGCACTCATTTCCCGCACTACCAGCTATTAGGTGGGGTATCGCTACTGCTGCAGACATCAGCAGGAAAAAGCACACTATAGGCTTACTGCATCGTCCTCTAGCACATCTTGGCTTACGCTGCTGCTGTAGCGGACACGCTATAACCTGCCTCGTTTACAGACTGCGATCTCCTATGCGTGCAAATCTTGGTATCTTCTGCTGCGGCTGACATCAGGGGCAATGCGGACCTGGTATAAGCTGACTCGCTTACAGGCTGTGATCTCCTCCTCCATGAGCTCTTGGCTCATGCTCTTGCTGACGCCAGGCGGTGAGGAGTAGAAGGTGATGGGCATCATGGGCTGCTGGTGCAGCATGACGCCCAGCATGCCCAGATCCACCACCAGCCTGCACGCGGGTACAGCAGAGTGGGTGTCATAGCAGAGTGGAGGGGAGAGAGGAGGAGGTTGGTGACGCCCAGATCCACCACCAGCCTGAATGTGAGGCAAGACGGTGGGAGGGGGTGGGGAGGGGTTGTGTGGAAGAAATGGGGGGGACTGGAAGAAGGACGATGCAACAGGCACAAGGCTCACGCCCCTCCCACTCACGCCCCTCAATCCCACTCACGCCCCACCTACTCACACACACCTGCAACGTGGGTGGAAACACGCAACGCACTGCACTTGTTGTCAGAAATGAGAGTTGAATCGATAGGTTAAAGAAAATCATACATGGCCTTAAGTACCACAAACTAGGAGGGGTTGGGTGGATAAGTTGCAATTGGAAGAGTATCCTAGAAGGATCCATCCAAATCAAGGAAAAATTGGATGGATGGGTGTGGATAGGTTTGGATAGGTTGGGGATAAAAAGTCTACACCCAACCCAACCAGAAACAAACTAACTAGAAGTTGGAAATCCTAAAAATGTAAAGCTAACACACAAAGTGCAGCCTATTTCCAACAATCATGCCCCTTCTTCCCACTCATAACACACCTTTTGAACTCACTCAAGTCCCTCTCACTCACGCCGCTCACAAACCAAACCAGCAACACAGATGAAGAAGTCTGTCTGCATGGCATGGTAGCGCCACATGGAGCTCCCACTCCCATGGAGCTCCCACTCCCATGGAGCTCCCACTCCCATGGAGCTCCCACTCACTCACACCTGCACTGTGGGTGAGAGCCATCACTGCAACCGCGCCACTCTCTGCCACTCACGCCACTCTCTGTCTCTCACGCCACTCTCTGTCACTCACGCCACTCTCTGTCACTCACGCCACTCTCTGTCACTCACGCCACTCTCTGTCACTCATACCACTCTCTGTCACTCACGCCACTCTCTGTCACTCACGCCACTCTCTGTCACTCAAGCCACTCTCTGTCACTCACGCCACTCTCTGCCACTCACGCCACTCTCTGTCTCTCACGCCACTCTCTGTCACTCACGCCACTCTCTGTCACTCACGCCACTCTCTGTCACTCACGCCACTCTCTGTCACTCATACCACTCTCTGTCACTCACGCCACTCTCTGTCACTCACGCCACTCTCTGTCACTCAAGCCACTCTCTGTCACTCACGCCACTCTCTGTCACTCACGCCACTCTCTGTCACTCACGCCACTCTCTGTCACTCACGCCACTCTCTGTCCCTCACGCCACTCTCTGTCACTCACGCCACTCTCTGTCACTCACGCCACACTCTGTCACTCACGCCACTCTCTGTCTCTCACGCCACTCTCTGTCACTTACGCCACTCTCTGTCACTCACGCCACTCTCTGTCACTCACGCCACTCTCTGTCTCTCACACCACTCTCTGTCACTCACGCCACTCTCTGTCACTCACGCCACTCTCTGTCACTCACGCCACATCTGGCACTCACGCCACTCTCTGTCACTCACGCCACACTCTGTCACTCACGCCACTCTCTGTCACTCACGCCACTCTCTGTCACTCACGCCACACTCTGTCACTCCATCACACTCTGTCACTCACGCCACACTCTGTCACTCACGCCACTCTCTGTCTCTCACGCCACTCTCTGTCACTTACGCCACTCTCTGTCACTCACGCCACTCTCTGTCACTCACGCCACTCTCTGTCACTTACGCCACTCTCTGTCACTCACGTCACTCTCTGTCTCTCACACCACTCTCTGTCACTCACGCCACTCTCTGTCACTCACGCCACTCTCTGTCACTCACGCCACACTCTGTCACTCATGCCACTCTCTGTCACTCACGCCACTCTCTGTCACTCACGCCACTCTCTGTCACTCACGCCACTCTCTGTCTCTCACACCACTCTCTGTCACTCACGCCACTCTCTGTCACTCACGCCACTCTCTGTCACTCACGCCACTCTCTGTCACTCATGCCACTCTCTGTCACTCACGCCACTCTCTGTCACTCACGCCACTCTCTGTCACTCACGCCACTCTCTGTCCCTCACGCCACACTCTGTCACTCACGCCACTCTCTGTCTCTCACGCCACTCTCTGTCACTTACGCCACTCTCTGTCACTCACGCCACTCTCTGTCACTCACGCCACTCTCTGTCTCTCACACCACTCTCTGTCACTCACGCCACTCTCTGTCACTCACGCCACTCTCTGTCACTCACGCCACAACTGGCACTCACGCCACTCTCTGTCACTCACGCCACACTCTGTCACTCACGCCACTCTCTGTCACTCACGCCACTCTCTGTCACTCACGCCACACTCTGTCACTCCATCACACTCTGTCACTCACGCCACTCTCTGTCACTCACGCCACTCTCTGTCTCTCACGCCACTCTCTGTCACTTACGCCACTCTCTGTCACTCACGCCACTCTCTGTCACTCACGCCACTCTCTGTCACTTACGCCACTCTCTGTCACTCACGCCACTCTCTGTCACTCACGCACTCTCTGTCTCTCACACCACTCTCTGTCACTCACGCCACACTCTGTCACTCACGCCACACTCTGTCACTCACGCCACTCTCTGTCACTCACGCCACTCTCTGTCTCTCACGCCACTCTCTGTCACTTACGCCACTCTCTGTCACTCACGCCACTCTCTGTCACTCACACCACTCTCTGTCTCTCACACCACTCTCTGTCACTCACGCCACTCTCTGTCAGTCACGCCACTCTCTGTCACTCACGCCACACTCTGTCACTCATGCCACTCTCTGTCACTCACGCCACACTCTGTCACTCACGCCACTCTCTGTCACTCACGCCACTCTCTGTCACTCACGCCACTCTCTGTCACTCACGCCACTCTCTGTCACTCATGCCACTCTCTGTCACTCACGCCACTCTCTGTCACTCACGCCACTCTCTGTCACTCACGCCACTCTCTGTCACTCAAGCCACTCTCTGTCACTCACGCCACTCTCTGTCACTCAAGCCACTCTCTGTCACTCACGCCACTCTCTGTCACTCACGCCACTCTCTGTCACTCACGCCACTCTCTGTCACTCACGCCACTCTCTGTCACTCATGCCACTCTCTGTCACTCACGCCACTCTCTGTCACTCACGCCACTCTCTGTCACTCACGCCACTCTCTGTCACTCAAGCCACTCTCTGTCACTCACGCCACTCTCTGTCACTCAAGCCACTCTCTGTCACTCACGCCACTCTCTGTCACTCACGCCACTCTCTGTCACTCACGCCACTCTCTGTCACTCACGCCACTCTCTGTCACTCACGCCACTCTCTGTCACTCACGCCACACTCTGTCACTCATGCCACTCTCTGTCACTCACGCCACTCTCTGTCACTCACGCCACTCTCTGTCACTCACGCCACTCTCTGTCTCTCACACCACTCTCTGTCACTCACGCCACTCTCTGTCACTCACGCCACTCTCTGTCTCTCACGCCACTCTCTGTCACTCACGCCACTCTCTGTCACTCACGCCACTCTCTGTCACTCACGCCACTCTCTGTCACTCATGCCACTCTCTGTCCCTCACGCCACACTCTGTCACTCACGCCACTCTCTGTCTCTCACGCCACTCTCTGTCACTTACGCCACTCTCTGTCACTCACGCCACTCTCTGTCACTCACGCCACTCTCTGTCTCTCACACCACTCTCTGTCACTCACGCCACTCTCTGTCACTCACGCCACTCTCTGTCACTCACGCCACACTCTGGCACTCACGCCACTCTCTGTCACTCACGCCACACTCTGTCACTCACGCCACTCTCTGTCACTCACGCCACTCTCTGTCTCTCACACCACTCTCTGTCACTCACGCCACTCTCTGTCACTCACGCCACTCGCTGTCACTCACGCCACACTCTGTCACTCACGCCACACTCTGTCACTCACGCCACTCTCTGTCACTCACGCCACTCTCTGTCTCTCACGCCACTCTCTGTCACTTACGCCACTCTCTGTCACTCACGCCACTCTCTGTCACTCACGCACTCTCTGTCACTCACACCACTCTCTGTCACTCACGCCACTCTCTGTCACTCACGCCACTCTCTGTCACTCACGCCACACTCTGGCACTCACGCCACTCTCTGTCACTCACGCCACACTCTGTCACTCACGCCACTCTCTGTCACTCACGCCACTCTCTGTCACTCACGCCACACTCTGTCACTCCATCACACTCTGTCACTCACGCCACTCTCTGTCACTCACGCCACTCTCTGTCTCTCACGCCACTCTCTGTCACTTACGCCACTCTATGTCACTCACGCCACTCTCTGTCACTCACGCCACTCTCTGTCACTTACGCCACTCTCTGTCAATCACGCCACTCTCTGTCACTCACGCACTCTCTGTCTCTCACACCACTCTCTGTCACTCACGCCACTCTCTGTCACTCACGCCACTCTCTGTCACTCACGCCACACTCTGTCACTCATGCCACTCTCCGTCACTCACGCCACACTCTGTCACTCACGCCACACTCTGTCACTCACGCCACTCTCTGTCACTCACGCCACTCTCTGTCTCTCACGCCACTCTCTGTCACTTACGCCACTCTCTGTCACTCACGCCACTCTCTGTCACTCACGCCACTCTCTGTCTCTCACACCACTCTCTGTCACTCACGCCACTCTCTGTCACTCACGCCACTCTCTGTCACTCACGCCACACTCTGTCACTCATGCCACTCTCTGTCACTCACGCCACACTCTGTCACTCACGCCACTCTCTGTCACTCACGCCACTCTCTGTCACTCACGCCACTCTCTGTCACTCACGCCACTCTCTGTCACTCACGTCACTCTCTGTCACTCACGCCACTCTCTGTCACTCAAGCCACTCTCTGTCACTCACGCCACTCTCTGTCACTCAAGCCACTCTCTGTCACTCACGCCACTCTCTGTCACTCACGCCACTCTCTGTCACTCACGCCACTCTCTGTCACTCACGCCACTCTCTGTCACTCACGCCACTCTCTGTCACTCACGCCACTCTCTGTCACTCACGCCACTCTCTGTCACTCACGCCACTCTCTGTCACTCACGCCACTCTCTGTCACTCACGCCACTCTCTGTCACTCACGCCACTCTCTGCCACTCATGGTGCAGCGACAAGGATGTAGACGCCGGTCTGTTTGGGGATGTGGTAGCGCCGGTCATCCCTGCCATCGTCATTCCACCCCTTGGCACACGGTGCTCCCACCGCTCACGCCCACTTGCACCGCACTGCGCCACACTGCACTGCACGCCACTCACGGGGCAGCGACGCGGATGAAGACGTCGGAGTCTTTGGGGATGTGGTAGCTCCAGTCGCCCCGCCCGTGGTCGTTCAACCCCGCCCCCACGAAGAACAGCACGAGCCCCTTGCTGGCACGCGACATGTTGTCCGGCGCCTGGGCGGGCGGGAGGATGGATGGAGAAACACAAGATAAGCATTGAAGCTGCACATGGCATGCGTTGACCCACACATGGCATGCGTTGACCCGCACATGGCATGCGTTGACCCGCACATGGCATGCGTTGACCCGCACATGGCATGCGTTGACCCGCACATGGCATGCGTTGACCTGCACATGGCATGCGTTGACCCGCACATGGCATGCGTTGACCCACACATGGCATGCGTTGACCCGCACATGGCATGCGTTGACCCGCACATGGCATGCGTTGACCCGCACATGGCATGCGTTGACCCGCACATGGCATGCGTTGACCCGCACATGGCATGCGTTGACCCGCACATGGCATGCGTTGACCTGCACATGGCATGCGTTGACCCGCACATGGCATGCCCCGCACATGGCATGTGTTGACCCGCACATGGCATGCATTGACCCGCCCGCACATGGCATGCGTTGACCCGCACATGGCATGCGTTGACCCGCACATGGCATGCGTTGACCCGCACATGGCATGCGTTGACCCACACATGGCATGCGTTGACCCGCACATGGCACGCGTTGACCCGCAAATGGCATGCGTTGACCCGCACATGGCATGCGTTGACCCACACATGGCATGCGTTGACCCGCACATGGCACGCGTTGACCCGCACATGGCATGCGTTGACCCGCACATGGCATGCATTGACCCGCACAAGACATGCATTGAGGATGCATAAGACATGCATTGAGGATGCATAAGACATGCATTGAGGATGCATAAGACATGCATTGAGGATCCACAGGACATGCTTTGAAGATGCACAAGACATGCTTTGAAGATGCACAAGACATGCCTTGAAGATGCACAAGACATGCTTTAGATAAAAAATCCCCAGACCATAAAGAACAGCACCAGCCCCTTGCTGGCGCTCGGAGGCAACCGTTGGAGGTTAGGCTTCATGCCTTGCCTTGCCACCACATGGCATAAACACCCATTTGGCACCTCATGGGACAGTACCTCATGGCACCGCACCAAACAGCCACACCAACACCACACCAACTACACCCAGGCTGCAGTAAGCAAGCGCACGAGACCACTGCTCCGCATGTTGGTGGATTGGGAACGACAGCGCTGTTTCCCAGAACTATGTGAAGCTCTTCATGCCCCACCAGCCTGAAGCTATATAGTGCAGCTTGAAACGAAAAGCCCAGTGCTCACAATGAGTGTTAGGTGGTGCCACCAATGGAATCGGTTGGTAACGGATTGGTTGAGCCAGCGGTGGGCGTTCACCAGCAGCACATACCCCGTCCACCACCCCCCAGGCTCCTTGGCTCGCATGCGATTGCCCGTGTCCTTCCACCTGAGAGCAGGTGCAGCCAGGCACAGGAAAAGAATGAGAATTCCTACAAGAGGTTTTAGCTCCTTGGCTTGCATGCGGTTGCCCGTGTCCTTCCACCTGTCAGCAGCAGGGCAGAGAGAGAGTAACAGACACCATAAGGTAGGTAGGATGGGTTGGTGAGTGCGAGTGACAGCTTTTGAGCCACCTGTGCCTGGAGGGAGGTGGGAGAGAGAGGGCACAAGCATACTAAACCTCCCCTCAGCACAAGTGGATGGAGGTGGGAGAGCGAGAGAGCACAAGCATACCTAACCACACGCAGATTGTAAGAGCTAAAACGCGGAGATATGTGAGCACGCAAACTCAAGGCAGGTATGGGATCAGTCAGTGGTCACACGCCACCCTACAGGCTCCTGACTGCAGGTGGTTACCCAGTTACCCACGTGTCCTCCTTCCCACTTGGGTGGCTGGAAAGCTCCTGAATCGCAACAGACGGGGCAGACGCAGACGAGCAGCACCTAACCTTCGCCAACTCCGTCTCACCAAGAGGCGATCCAAACGTGCAGACCGCCAACTTGTGCTTATAACGAGCGTGCACGATGAAGCCAAGGATCCAAGGGACTTGAGGGTGCAAGGGTTCAGTGAGGAGGGACCCTCTGTTCGGCCGTCAGTGAGGTGAACATGACTGGTCGGCCAAACCGAGCTTGCTGCGATCTACCCGCTTCTCAGTTTGACAATGTGCAAGGGTTCAGTGAGGAGGGACCCTCTGGTGAGACCCTTTGGTGAGACCCAGAGGGTAAACAATGGGTCGTCTGTTGACCTCACGGCGGATGGCATACTTCAACTCAAGGTGGAATTTGGAAGATTATGGCTGCATGGTTCGGTGGCCGTCATTCGCTTCTGCCAAGGCGAAGGGCAGTATAGTTGGAAAAAACTCACCCGAATTCCGCATCCGCGGTATAAACATATCTGTCCAGCAGTGTGCCATGACAATTCCTCGCCGTTTCGCAGCCGCTTTGCGGGAAAAACGTCGACCCCGACGACAGTGCGGTAGGTCGCAGCTCGAAGATCGCCAAGTATGCGACGGTCAGCGCGACGGCGACAGGCAGAATGCGACGAGTGAGAGCTGCCTGAAGTCGCCTGACGACGACACCAGGGTTTGACGCGTGCGTACGCGACATAATGAGCTTCGCTAACGGATCGTGATCGCTTCTGTAGAACAGCTTCAGTCAGCTGGCTCACAATAAGAGCCTCAGTACGCCGTTCTTGCTAGAAGCCATGATGCATTGTGCATTGTCGATGTTCGGCTAACTGCATTGCTCGAAAACAACGACATGACGTTATGTTCAGTGGATCGGGAGCAACGGTTTCTGGTTGTGGATTCAAAATGGGTGCTGAAACATACCCTTTCAAAAGCTGCTTCGATTGCGCTATAACGAAGAAGCAGGAGGTGCGCGATAGCTCCCCCTGTCTAGAACACCAGCTCCAGCTATGAATATGAAAGTTGATGTTGTGCGAACAATGCATTGGCAAATTATACATGACCCGAATGGTTTTACCCTCTAAGAATCTAAGAACCCACGAGACACGGTTCCTGTCGGAAATATTGAATAATATCATAATGGAAACTCTGGCAAACATCTCACCAACAGTACACTACGAGCACGATGCAAATATTCATGTATACATACGTATACATAGCACAGTAATTTTCAACATGCTGAGCTTGTGTTACCTGCAAGGCTACTGGTGTGGCACATCCCCATCATATCCAACGTTGTTGGCAAGAATAGTTGCCTGGCTGACAAGGTGAGAACGGCAGCTTGTTTGAGGCTAAAAGGGCTTCAGTAGTGAGCACAAAAGGTGCTGCAGTCGGTGGGTGATGTGATGCTACCTAGACTCGAACTGCTGCTGTGCTGACTCGGCAATGGCTTCACTACTTTCCTGCGTTCCCGCATCTCGTTTAATATGTCTTGTTGTCTTCAATCCTGAATCCCACTACCGCTCATTTCACGTCCCCTCCGCCCCTCTCCCCTCTTGTCTGCCTCACCCCCAGGCAGATCCCTGTGCCGCCCTGAACTGTGCTCCTAATGGCGAATGTTATTGTTTTGATGATGGCACGGCTTCTTCGTGGAGTCGCAAAATCAGCTTCATTCCACAATGCTCAAAGCCCCACCTGTAAATGACACGATATGTGTACAAACTTGTTTGTTGTTGGAGCAGTTTTTACTCCTAAATACCCTCCTTCACACAACAAATGCCCACAAGAGCGTCAACATATCAGTGAACTTTATACGGAACCCGTGTAACCGTCACATAGTCACCTTGGGGAACGTTGGTAATGGTGGAGGTGAAGTGCCACACGCCATCCTCAGGGTAGTGCTTGGGCGGGGACAGTGTGGTGAAAGTAAGGGATGGCCTGCACACACAGGTTGAAATTGCCTGTGTACGTGCCCGGTACCGTTGGCATCATGCTGCCAGCAAAGGGGGGGAGGAGGAGATGGGGAACGTGATGTTGAGGGGGTTGGGGGGATGAAGGGAGATAGGGAAGCAGGTGCAGCGGAAAGAAAATTTGGGCTGCACGAACAGGGCATACGCCATTGCACTCATCATCCCCTTGCACCACTCACCATCCCCTTGCACCACTCATCATCCCCTTGCCATTTGCTTCCTGACGTTTCACCGCTTGCTGGCTGTGCGGGCAGTCCTGTGAGACGTGGGAGCATGGTAGCGGAAGGGGGAAAAGAGAAACGGGATGGTGTGGGAAGGGAGAAAGGGGAAGGGGAAGAGGGGGAAAGGGGGAAATACTACATGCCCCTGAATAATTCTTTCCTCAGACAGGGTTGAGCTTATGTGAATCGGACAAGAAGTGCTACCAACTTAGGCTGGCCGTGAGGGGAAGTGACAGGAAGGAACAGGGACCCAGAAGGCAGCGTAGAAATAGTGATGTTTTTTCAGTGCTAATATTTCTTACTTTTCATATACAAAATAAAAAGTTTCCAGTTTTTTTCTCCTCCTTTTTCTGTTGAACGCTGAATCTTTGGCGTCTACTTTCAGGTGTGCACACTGCTTTTCAGCATGCTTTCTCTTTCTTCTTCTTCTTCGTTTCCCGGTGCCCGCTGATTCGTCGAAGTAGAGCCGAGCAGTGTAGCGCAGGGCAGAGTGGGAGAACGCCCCAGGTGCAGATGCGCCGCCAGCAAGTGCAGATGCGCCACCAGCACGTGCAGATGCACCACCAGCACGTGCAGATGCGCCGCCAGGAACCAATGGTGGCTATCGCCCACAAAGCTCATGGATACCCCTCTCGTGTAACACGCCTATCCACTCCGATGGGGGAGGGCGAGCACCGGTAGAAGACCCACCTGGGGAGGAGGGGGGAGAGAGGATGGCATGGGGGGAGTGGGGAAGGTGGGAAGGGTGATTGAGGCGCCTCAAAAGACGATTTTCGGGGCGGCCCATAAGATAACACCATCCACACCCACGCGGCCATACACACTGCCCATCAACACCCATCTGCACCCATCTAGACAAGACCCAGCTTCACTGATCGACACCCATCCCCGCGCACATACCTGAGTGACCCAACTGCTTTCACCACCCCTGGCAGTGACGTCCCCACACACGGGGAATCCAGCCAATCCTCTGCCGCCTCCTGCTCCTCATCCTGCCTCTTGCCTGCTGCTTCTACATGAGTGGCGGCTGTGGTGGTGCTACCGCTGTTACCCTTGCTGCTGCCTGCCGCCGCTGCTGCTGCTCCTGCTGGTGTCAATGCTGCTGTTGATACCAGGACTGCTGGTGTCAATGCTGCTGCTGATACCAGGACTGCTGGTGTCAATGCTGCTGCTGATACCAGGACTGCTGGTGTCAATGCTGCTGCTGATACCAGGACTGCTGGTGTCAATGCTGCTGCTGATACCAGGACTGCTGGTGTCAATGCTGCTGCTGATACCAAGACTGCTGGTGTCAATGCTGCTGCTGATACCAGGACTGCTGGTGTCAATGCTGCTGTTGATACCAGGACTGCTGGTGTCAATGCTGCTGCTGATACCAGGACTGCTGGTGTCAATGCTGCTGCTGATACCAGGACTGCTGGTGTCAATGCTGCTGCTGATACCAGGACTGCTGGTGTCAATGCTGCTGCTGATACCAGGACTGCTGGTGTCAATGCTGCTGCTGATACCAGGACTGCTGGTGTCAATGCTGCTGCTGATACCAGGACTGCTGGTGTCAATGCTGCTGCTGATACCAGGACTGCTGGTGTCAATGCTGCTGCTAATACCAGGACTGCTGGCTCTCGCCAAAGCTTCACCACGTGGCGTGATTGTGATTGGCCAGGAGGCGAGGCTGTGCTGGTGCATGCGGTTGTGGTGCGCAAGGGCTGGGGAAAAATTGAGATTGGCGCACCCCACGTGCAGCATCGCCCTGCAAGGAGGAGCAGAGCAGCAGGGGGAAGGGTGTGGTGTGGGGGGATGTGGGTGGCATGGGGAAGGCGAGAGTCAGAGCGAGGGAGGGAGCAACTGGGTGCGCACTCCACATGCAGCGTCGCCCTGCAAGGAGGAGCAGAGAGGGGCATGTGGGGCCCGTAGGGTATGAGAGGGCAAGGTGAAGGAGGGAGCGGCTGGAACGAAGGTGGAGGGGGAGGTGAGGTTGCCGCACCCCACGTGTCCCGAAGGTGACCCTGGGTCGGGCTAGGGTTATGTTGAACGGATGAGCAAAGAACCGAACAGGTTTTGATTTTTAGCTTAAATTGTTCACCCGAACGTGTTCGAGGTTTGCCCGAACACGTTCGTGTTCGTGGCGCTGCTGCAGAACACCCCGTGTCGAACACGAACGTGTTTGAGGTTCACCTGAACACGCCTTCACAGAGGAACGGCGAACACCCTTGTTCGGTTCGCCGAGCGGCCATGTTCGTGCAAGGGCGAACATGTTCGCGTTCGCCCTTTGCTCAACGGTCCATTGAAGTCGTCCCTTTTTGGCATTTTCTTGGCACTTAGCAGGGTAGAACATACAGATTAGTACTACTGTCTTTATTTTGCTAAAAGTGACTTCCCGACTGCAGCTCACCCAGTCCACATGGCTGTCGGGCTAGGGTTAGGTTGAAGTCATCCTTTTTTGGAGATGAACAACCAATGAGACAAAACCAGAATTTTCGCGAACAGCAGCATCTCCTTATAAAATGAAACTCATCCAATCAACTCCTCCCCCCCCCCCCCCCCCCCCCCCCCCCCCCCCACCACCCAAAATTGCATGCCAACTGAAACAGTGTATTTTTTATAAATTTCTCGACGCGCCCATGAAAATGGCAACTTTTGATAGAGAAACTTGTGATTCAAAACCTACCCCTTCTACCTACCCATCTGTTTTTGCGATGCAAGAGGAGCAAAGCAAAGGGGTTGGGAGGGATTCAAAGGTGGTGCCAAGGATTGGCAGGGATAAGGATGTGGTGCGAAGGAGGAGACAACAGAAGAGCAGATTGGTGAGGCGTTCAATACAATCAACTACCTCACATTAAGGCGCCTCGAGATTAGACTCACCAGTAATTGCTGAAGTCCCACACACACGTGGTACGACACTCTAAACTCCGTGCAGTGCAGAGGGTCTAGACACCTAATGTCCCCGTGAGCTAGCGCAGCGCCTCTTAAAGTCAGAGCTAAGTCGCGCCTCCACCAGCTCTCCTTGACCGCCTTCCCCAGCAGCTGCTCCCAGACGCGGAAGGAGCAGCGCTGCCCGCGCTGACACGTGGCGCAACCTGAGCCGTGGATCACCACTTTCGCGGGGGACGGGAATGCATAGTCTGCGCAGGCAGATGCAGATGTGAAGGGAGGGAGGGTGAACACGGGGTTGCGTAAGGGGATTTAAACAGGAGGGTCGCATTGCATGAGAGAATGTTTTGGGGCGCGTTGACATTAGTCACGTCACATCACGTCAATGAGAAGGGAGGGGGCAGGGGGAAACGCGATGAGCGGAAACAGGATGGCGAGGTGCACGGGCGACTCGTCCAGTCCAGCATACTCGCTGTCGATCTTCGAGGCGTCTTGCAACTCGGATTTCACATGCAATTGGACGTCACCTATTCTTGAGGCGGCTCAGATATTTCAGGCCGCGCATTGTAAAACACAACCAACTCATATTTCGCATACTACTTTCTGGAATCTCACCTCCTGACGACGTCCAGCATACTCTTCGTCGTCTGGGCTGCCCTACGCTGCCATCGGAAACGCTGGAAGCAGCGCGAATGGCAGTAGCGCCATTACTAATGGCAGCGCCATTACTAACGGCGGCGCCATTACTAACGGCGGCGCCATCAGTAACAGCGGGAGATAAGTTATCTCCTGTTGCGTTTGTTTTGTAGGCGACAAGCAGCGGCTTTCGCAGCTGCAGGGGGAAAAGAGGGCCCCATTTTAAGCGCCACCTTCCGCTCGCTCCCCCTGCTGCCGCCAATCCCACCGCGCTCATGCTTCCCGCTCCCGCATCGGATCCGCCAGTCACCCATGGCGGTAACGATTCAGCTATAACGAGTACGAGGAGACATAGGATCATGACGGAAACGAGCACGTAGTGAGCCCCATCCATATAAGGCCCCAACTGAGGACTCCTCTCCTCGTCTATAAAACCTCCCGTTTTGAATCCTAAAGTCGTCAACATGTGCGAAAACGCACGAGAGACGCGCGACAGGGGAGACGCTGACGACGTTGATGGCAGCACGGGACGTGCATCATGCGACGATCGCGAACTGAGCTGCGAAGCTTGCGACACAGAGTCCACAATCGCAGTGCGTTTTTCAAGGTCGATCGACTCGGAGTGATATCCCTGTCCATTCGACCTACCGATGATGCCTGCCAGGCGCCTGATGTGAAGCGAGAAAGAATAGCGCCTCGCGAATAACTTAATGGTTCGGGCTTAGATCCGACAATCTTCTGAAACACTTGACGAGTAAAGCTTTATCCGAAGCTGTTTTGTCGCCATCCTTTGCGAAGCTCAATAACAGCCTGTCCCCGAGCTAGATTCGCGGAACAGGCGTGTCAGGGACGTCTGTGTAACTAATCAGGGCGTGTCCAATGAGTTAATTTGGGGAGAAAATCATTTTTTTTACGTAACTTCGACCAAGCAAAAGAGTGTACACTCAGACGTGAAAAACACGCAGCGCGTCAGCACAGCGCCAAACGAAATTGACCCACGCGGACTCATAGCCCCACCCACACAAAAATCGTCATCCGAACATGGGCCCCGAGCGGTAACCCGCCACTGTGCGAATCAATTGCGCCCCTTGCGAAACTTAGTTTTTTCTTCGCGCGACTGAATGTGCGCGAAGTCTCCGATTGGGGTAACGGAATGGAGGAACCGGTACGAAGTGATCTCACGTACCTTGTACGTGGGATAGTACGAACATCTTGACGTCCTAGGCGTGTCATGAAGACGCATGTCATGCAGAGAAGAGTTACAGACGGGAAACAGGGTTACAACACTGAACTTGAACTGTAAACGAACTCATGGGACACGTCCTAAGTGGGAAAGTATGTCCATTCCTAGTACACTGGATGCTGGGACAAGGAATGGACATGCTTTTCTGTGGTGGGCTAAATTCGAAAGGTTCATCCTGGTGCGCAAAGGTCTGAAGCGGTGACAACCTAAGGCGATTGACAGAATTGACCGCGTCAAATGGCCCTAGAACCGCCCTACATAAATTCTGGTACACCTCTCCCCCGCTAATTTCAACACCTGGGCCCGAATCGCGTCTTTGTCGTTCAGCCCTCCTGTTGAAACTGTTGGGGAACAGAAAAGTTCACATAGTCAGCGCGGTTTCACTCGGTTTCGTACTTTTCAGAACCGTTTACAGACTTTCTACTCGGTCCTGAGCTTTATAAAGAGGTTTTGAGGTCCAAACCGCGCTCGACGCAGGACCACAGGTCGAGACAAAGGTGTTGAAATTGCCCGGGATTGAAATACCGTATGGCCCCGGATATAGGCGCCGGCGCTTCTATATGGAGCATGGCGCTTATGGCCGATCCTCGATTAATAAGCGCCACCCCTTTTGTACCCTTCCTTATTATAAGCGCCAACCTCAATATTAACACTTTTTTTTACCACCACAACAAAAGCAAAACAAGTATAACATCGTTCGCTTCAACGTATACTACAAGTCAATACACAATTTTAGACTTAATCTGCTATTCTACCTAGGTGCTAGTACCGGAACTACTCCTCGTCAGACTCGGGCTCCTGGCAGTTGTTGCCAAAGAATCCGTCGGCGATGATGTCGTCGTCTACATCCACTTCCGCCGTTAGCTGGCTCCGCCTGTGCGCCATGGCGAGGTGGTCCTCACTGCCGTCAAGCGCGTTGCTAATGCCGCAGGTGAGGAAGGCGCGCTTGACGAGGTCGGAGGGTACTGCTTTCCAGGCTTATGAAATCCATCGAAGGACCACTTCTGGGGGGGGCTTCTTCAGATTCCCTGCACCGCAACAGAGACACCCGGGAAAGCCGTGTCAGTGACCAAGGGTGAAAGGTGGATAAACATGCGTGTTTAACGGAAACAACGTACCTGCAGCTGTCAGTTGCTCTTGGCCCTCCTCCTGAAACCACTTCTGGTACTGCTGACGAACAGATGCTTTGAAGCTCTTGTTGATGGAGACGTCGAGTGGCTGAACCTCACCCGTACAACCCGACGGGATGACAGCAGGCACGCAGTTGATCTCGCGGAGCTTCTCCTTCACCCCCTCGGTAAGGTGGCCGCGGTAGGAATCCAGCACGAGCATAGAGCTCTTCGCACACCTGCCAAATCGGGGCTTCAAGAAGGGCTTGACACACTCCTCAAGCCAGCGGATGACGCCTTCTGTGTTCATCCACCCGTTCTCTGGCAAGCCACGACCACATCTGCACACAGAAATGGCACTTAAACTGTTAGCGCGGCATGAGAAACGATACGGTAAGGCAGCGGCAGTTGCTACTTATTACCAGGAGGAAAGCTGCCCTTCGGCAGCGTCTTCCGCTTGAAAAATACCCACGGCTTGAGCTTCGCCCCGTCCGCCGTGCACGCCAGCATCACGGTCACACGCTTCTTCTGGTAACCTGCACTCCGGATGGGCACCGACCGTACGCCCGTCTGATCCACGGTCGTGGTGGCGGGCATCTCCAGCCAGAGCGGCGTCTGGTCAGCGTTGAGGATCCAGCATGGCTCAATGCCGCGCGCGCGACGCATGTGTCGGACAAAACGCCAGAATTTCTGGCACTGCTCCGCAAGATCTGTGAGACGGGGGAAAGCGGGCGGGATAGACTGCAGTTTAGTAAGTGAACATGAAACTTAGACATAAAAGCAAGGGGCGTAATCTTACGAGAGGCTGTTTTCTGAGCAACCCGCGTCTTCATGCGGACGCTCAGATTCCACCGCTTCCGAAACCGCTCCGACCATCTCTGACTCCCGCTCCACTTGTCGTCCGGGTAGAGGATCTTCATGAACTCCCTCGACCACTCCCGCAGACGGCCGACCGACACGGCGGTTCCTTTGCGGCGCCAGTCCAGGAGCCGCTCGTACACCTTCAACTCCATGGGGCGGTACCACGAGGCCCGCCCGCGACCGTGCATGCGCTTCCGCCCGGAGTGTGCTTCTTTGAGAAACCCCGCTGCCACCTTCCAGTTGGCGAGACACTTCCGGTGAATCCCACACTCCCGAGCTAGTGCGCGCACCGACTTCGCCACATCCAGCATCGCGACGTACTTCAACTTCTCCGTAGCTGTGTAGCCTTTGCGCTTGTGATCGCTGATCTTGTGCCTGGGAGAGGGGGGGTGGGCATCACGGTTCTGGGTAGACGGGTGGGGTCGCTTGCGGTTAGCTGGTGGAAAGGAAGGTATCGGCAGTTCCTCTGGGAGCCCGTCACGTGACCAGTACTCGACACCGTCGTCGTCGTCGCCACCAGGTACGCCCTCAGGAAACACATCCTCTGCGGTGCCGCCCTGCGCGCCACCTTCCTCAGCCTCGTCGCCGTCAGCACGGCTCGCTTCCTCGTCCTCAGCCACGTCGTCGTCAGCTCCGAGTGCAGATTCGTCCCACATGGTGCAATCATCGGGCCGGCCCCAACGTGGTCCAAGGTAAGGTGCGCCGGGTACCTCAACATCTTGGGCCTTGTTGCTTTCCGGTTCCTCCAGCCACTCGTCGAACGCAGTCGGGAGCAGGAGCGTGAGCACGGGCGGATCCCCTGTCTACTGAGGACATCCCAGAATCGGAGGAGACGGAGGAACAGGAGGAGCAGGAGGCGCAGGCGGCAAAGGAGGAGCAGGAGGAGCAGGCGACGCAGGAGGCGCTGGAGGCTGTGGTGGCTGTGGTGGTTCAGCTGGGACACGGGAGTACCATCCGTCGACGTCGACTACAAAGGCGGGCCTACGCGCGGGCTTCTTCTTGAACAAAAAGTGTGTGCCTGAGAATTCCGCCATGGCTGTCGCAGCCAGGCGGGCGAAAACAAGAATCGGACTACCAAAACTGAATGAATCGAGTGCTGAAATGAAAGATTAGCGGGGACCCCTTCTGAGTTGCGGCTTGGGGTCCTCATCGGGGATAGACGGGTGCCCCCCTGCCTGAACCCGGAGAGGAGGGTATCGCGGCACGAATTTGCTGCGCTGGCAAGGAGATTCCACCCCCTTGTAGATGGTTCGGGTGTAATGTTGCACCATGGCAGCGCATGACGTTCCTATTGGGCCGCACGCCAGGATGCACGTCATCGCTGGCAGGTGCGTTGCTCCAGGACAGGTTCTGTGCGGTGGGAAATCGAGTCGCGGCAGTTTTCGCCGGAATTTCATGCACAATCCCATGCGCAACGTACACAGTTGTGTTCGCCTTGTCAGAATGTTATCTTATGCTCTAGCTTGTAGTGGGGTGCTCTATAGCGAGTACAACCCTTCTAGGGTTTGCTATTTGTATCCCCATTCTTGCTAGTGCAGCCCTCTTCTCTCTTCTAAACTTTCACATGCTATCAGAGCAGGTCGATCCCCTTGGATCGATCCTGTGGGTGGGTTACCAC